CTGCTGGTCGCCATCTGTGGGGTGATTGGCCAAGTGATTGGGCCCTGCTTGCACGTGCCTTGACCTGGCACTGCCCACACACCTGCTCCACCATCCCCCCATGGTCCCACTCTCATCAGGGCCCATTGGGATCACCAGCACCTCCACTGCCACCCTCTACCAGCACCGCATTGCCTGCCATGTTCCATGCTGCCCCCTGGTGGTCAGCACATGTCCTAGCAAGCAGTTGAACTCCCAGTCAAGGGAAAATTTGCATATTAGGCTTTTATTATATAGGGTGTGTGAGTGTGTGTGTTTGTGTGTGTGTGTGTGTGTCTTTTTATTGATTTTAGAGGGGAAGGAAGAGGGAGAGAGAGAAACATCAGTGATGAGAGAGTCATTGATCGGCTGCCTCCTACATGCCCCACACTGGGATCAAGCCCACAACCCAGGCAAAAGCATTGACCAGAAATTGAACCGTGACCTCCTAGTTTATAGGTTAACTCTCAACCAATGAACCTTGTTATCCAGGCCATCCTACCGTGTATTTTGAATTTTTGTACATGTTGATGCCTTTTTCTTTGTTGAAATTTTTGACAACTAAATATCAGAAAATACTAAAGGGGACTTTCTGCTTAGTTTCAGTGTTTGTTTTTTTAATATCTAAGACACGTGAGCATTAAATATAGGGAGTGTTTATTACTAATTTGGGGAGGTTATCAAGGTAGCAGTAATATTACTTACAGAAAATCCATGTTTATTAAAGAACTAGGGGCCCAGTGCACATATTCATGCACATTGAAAGGAACTGTGGGCTGCAAGATTGTAGTGGGCATAGGGGCAGGTTTTGGCCCATCCTCCTCACTCTCACCATGGCCCTCAGTTCCTTGTCTGCCGGCAGCCCCGTTCCCACACACTGACCGCACTGGCCCCATTTCCACCCACTAATGGCATGGAGCTATTGGGGCCAGTGCCAGCAGCACATGCAAGACGCTCTGCCTCCTCCTGGCACTTTGAGCCATAAGAGCGAGCAGGGACCTTTCCACTCAGTCTTTGGTCACTGCTGAGGTTTTATGGACTCTCTTGGCCAGGGACAGCCAGGACCTTTGCCTCTGACCAAATCTGTGCCATCAGCAGATGCGAGAGACAGCTTCTGGCCCCAGTCACCCTTCAGGAGCAAGGGGAGGTGGAGAAGCTCAGGGGTGATCAGGGCCGGCAGCAGGTGCAAGCACCAGGCAGGGCTATAGCGCATTGGAGCAAAGAATTTTCAGTCACCACCAGAGGCTCGCCTTGATGACAGCGATTGGCAGCCCGCCTTGGTCGGGCAACCCCCCCCTCACCTGCTCCACCATCTCACCACGGACAACACCCGCCATGTTCCGCATGCACGCCCTGGTGGTCACATGTCATAGTGACCAATTGTTCTGTTGTTCCTCCATTTGGTCTATTTGCATATTAGGGTTTTATACAGATAGATTGGAGTGTACATAGCAAATATTTGACCAACCTGAAGAAAAACATTTTCTCATTGCAAATCAATGGGTGAATGAATGCAGTTTCTAGTAACTTCTTTTAGTTTTATGTCTTGTTGGATTATTTGGCAACCATAACCCTTAAAATGTGGAGAAGAGTCTTAGTAGATGTTTTTCTTGATTTTACCAAGTCAGGAAGGTTTGACCTTATAACCCACAAACAATTACTACTCCTTTGGGCTGATAGTGCTGTCCAGAAGTGGTTAATGGTTAGAGGACTCACATGTAAACTCTAATTTCAAAACTTATTACAAAGCTGCAGTAGCCGAAACAGTGTGGTACTAATGTAAGGATAAACATGTAGATCGATGGAATAGAATTGAGAATCCAGAAATAAACTTTCACTTTTACATCATTGATATTTGACAGTGGTGCCAAGACAGTTCGGTGGGGAAAGAATAGTCTTCAACTTACGGTACTGAAACAACTGCATATTCACATGCAACAGAATGAAGTTAAGCCCCTTCCTCACACCATATACAAAATCAACTGAAAATGGATCATAGATCTGAATATAAGAGCTAAACTATAAAACTACTATAGAAGAAAGTATAGGTATGCCCTTGAGTTAGGTAAACCCTTCTTAGATATGATATCAAAAGCATAAGAACCCTGGCAGGTTTGGCTCAGTGGGTAGAGTGTCGGTTTGCGGACCAAAGGGTCCCAGGTTCAATTCCAGTCAATGGCACATGCCTGGGTCATAGGCTCGATACCAATAGAAGGTGTGCAGGATGCGGCCAAATCATGATTCTCACCTATGATGTTTCTATCTCTCCCCCATACATGGCCCCTCACTCAGGCCAGCCATGCTCCCAGGCTTTCCTGGGACTAGGCGTTCCCCAGGCAGGCTGCAGGCACAGATTTGGTCAGAGGCAAAGGTCCTGGCTGTCCCTGGCCAAGAGAGTCCATAAAAACTCAGCAGTGACCAAAGACTGAGTGGAAAGGTCCCTGCTCGCTCTTATGGCTCAAAGTGCCAGGAGGAGGCAGAGCGTCTTGAACTTGTAACCCTGGCATCTGTATACCAAGCCTTGGGGCATACCACGCCGGTGGCACCTGTGGGTGAAAGGGGGAGAGCAGGGAGCTGGGGTGCAGAGCTGGGAGAGGCCTAGAGTCTGCAGGAGCAGCCCACCTACCGAGGTTGCTGTGACCTGCACACTCAGGCTTGGTCAAAGCCCCTGGTCAGCTCCGCCGCTTGCCTTCCAGATGTGACCCGCACACTCAGGCTTGGTCAAAGCCAGCTGGCATTGCGCTCAGAGAAGCAGCTGTCACTGGGCTCAATTAAATAAGAGAAATCAAAGAGCAGAGAGTAAATATCCTCCCAGCCCCTTTCTATGGCCCCGGGCAAGGAGGGCTGGGGGTGAGGGTAATGGAAAATGGCTACTGCTTTGTATTTTATAATGAAGATTCCTGCTATGTAGAGAGGAGAGCTGATTCGTTTCCAGCAACACCTAGCGTGTTCCCTGCCCCAGCCCTGAAGCCTGACAGCACCTAGCAAAGGTGTGTCCGCACAGCCATGTGCCCTGGCTCCTGGAATGGTGGGAGCGAGTTTGAGCTGCATTGATTAAAAAAAAAAAAAGGTAAAGACTGAAAAACACCTCTTTGTACTCAAATGGCACTACAAAATGCAGATTACAGCATCTGATTTTGTCTTCTGTGCTGATTTTGAGGCAGAGCGCAAATAGGTTCATGGGAAAAGCAGAAAAAAAAGGGAAAGGAAGAGGATTCTGCCATTCACAGCACTGAATGTTGTTGTTTCTGTGTGTTTTTTGTTTTTCTTATTTTTCCTTCTGTTCAAGTCAGCATATGCCATTTAAACCACTTTATGGTGTTAGGTAATGAGCTAATGCTTTCTCTATTAAGAGCAAGCAGCAGTGCCTTTCGTATGAATCGCATACATTTAATCCATTCAAATGTAGCATATTGAGTGGAGAGAATGGTATGTGTCATTATTTAAAGAGCTTGGCATTATGATGCTATCTGGCTGAAGATAATATTTTTTTTAATATATTTTATTGATTTTTTTATAGAGAGGAAGGGAGAGAGATACAGAGTAGAGAGTTAGAAACATCGATGAGAGTCTTCGATCAGCTGCCTCTTGCACGCCCCCTACTGAGAATGTGCCTGCAACCAAGGTACATGCCCTTGACCGGAATCGAACCCGGGACCTTTCAGTCTGCTGGCCGAAGCTCTATCCACTGAGCAAACCGGTTTCGGCTGAAGATAATATTTAATTTGCAATTTAGAGAACGTAGACAAATTAGGCATTGAAAGTGAATGTGCATGCTTAAGTGCATGGCTTTATTTTCATCCATAACGACCAAATGACTGGTCACTAGGAGGTGCATTGATGGGTCCCGTGGCATGGTGAGTCTGGGGTCTTGTGGCGTGGTGAGTCTGGGTGAGGCTGTGTGGCACAGGCCAGAGCTAGGGAACCTGAGGCTGCGTCCCCAACCCATGGGGCTTGATGGGGGTGGGGCCAGCTGGACACTTCTATTATAGAGAAAGGGCAAATAACAATATTAAGATATTTCCTCTAATTCCCTTTAAATAGGCATGAATATCATGCACCAGGCCACTAATAAAGTAATAACACACAGAACAGGCAAAGGATGTGAATAGGCACCTCTCCAAAAAGGTATACAAATGATCAGTAATCACATGAAAAAATGCCCAACTCATTAGCCATTAGGGAAATGCAACTCAAAACTACAGTGAAATACTACATCACATCTGTTGGATGGCTATAGTAAAAAAGATAACAATATTAGTCAGTATGTGAAGAAATTGGAAATCCCATACATTGCTGTTGGGAATGTAAAATGGTAAATGTAAATTGGAAAACAGTCTGATGGTTACTTAAACCTTTAAAACCAGAGCTACCATAAGACCCAGCAATTCCTCACCTAAGCATATACTCAGGAGAAGTAGCTCCACATTAAAACTTACATGAATGTTCATAGCAGCGTTATTTATAATCTCCAAAAAATAGGAATAACTCAAATGTGTAGCAATTGATGAATGGATACAATATGATATATACATACAATAGAATATGGTTATTGAGCAATAAAAAGGATGAGGTACTGAAACTTGCTACCTTATGGATGAATAATAAATTATCCATAATAAATATGGATGAAGCTTGAGAACATGTTAAGTAAAAGAAGCCAGACACAAAGGCCACATGTTTTATTGTTGCATTTATATGAAATGTCCAGAATAGACAAAACCATATAGACAAATTAGATGTGTTAGAAGGAGATGGATAATGATTGCTAATGAGTTTGTTTTGGGGAGGTGAAAATGTTCTAGATTGTGGTGACAGTTGCATAGAGCAATGGCTGTGGAGTTGTCAAGTAAACGTACCTTAAACTTGGAATTTCTCTTAGGAAAAAATTATATACATTTTAAGTAAACACTGAAGTCACTATTCCTATTTTGCCTGGTGTAAGAAGAAAATGACCAAATTGCCTACTCTTTACTTTTCAGAAAGGAGAAGATGAATATGCTAACATTGATGCCATTGTTGTATCAGTGGGTGTTGATGAAGAAATTGTTTATGCCAAGTCAACTGCCTTACAGGTGAGCAGTTCTTAGCCCTGACCATCATTGAATCATCTCCTGCACTGTTCAAAATAGTAACCACATAAAAAATTAATTCCTCTGTCCCAAATATCAATTACTCTATACTGGCTGCCATATTAGAGCAAATGAGAATATTTTCATCTTAAAAAGTTCAGTAGACAAGCACTGATCAGAAAATAAGGACAAAAGAGAGGTATTTAAATTGGGACAGATTTAACTATATATCAAAAAAATCTGAACAGTGATTACACAAAATATTTATTTTTCTCTTGGATAATCAGGGATCCAGGTTTTTTCCACATCTCTACCATTTATAGAGTTTAGCCCTTGTGCTCATGGTACACAAATTGCTAGAGCTTCAGTCATTACATTTGCATTGCAAGCAAAAAGAATGGAAAAAGAAGAAAATTGGAGATCTCCTTCCCTTTTTAAGGAGACTTGCTTGAAGTCCTACAGAATATTTCTACTTATAATTTATTGGCCAAAATTTAATCTGTTGGCCATACTTAGTTGCAAGAAAGGATGGGAAATAAGTCTTCATGCTGAGCAATCTGCCCAGCTCAAAATCCCATTTTTTTTTAAATACATTTTTATTGATTTTAGAGAGGAAGGGGGAGGGAGAGGGAGAAACATCAATAATGAGAATTATTTATCGGTTGCCTCCTGCATGCCCCCTACTGGAGATTAAACAGTCATTTTTTTAAATATATTTTATTGATTTTTTTACAGAGAGAAGGGATACAGAGTTAGAAACATCAATGAGAGAGAAACATTGATCAGTTGCCTCCTGCATACTCCTACTGGGGATGTGCCAGCAACCAACGTACATGCCCTTGACCAGAATCAAACCTGGGACCCTTCAGTCCAGTCCGCATGCTGATGCTCTATCCAATGAGCCAAACTGGTTAGGGCTCCCATCTTTTTTAGAGAGAAAAAATTAATAGTTGGTACACAACTAGCAATATTTGGGGGGTGATAGAATGCACTGTTCCCTAGAGCTTTATTTTGTCCCATTTTATGCACTTCTATCCTAAAAATATGATAGTTTCTATAAACACAAACTGCCCCAAGGTTTGATGGTCTTTATTATGGAATATTTCAAACATATAAAACTAGATAAAATAATAATATTGAATTCCTGTTTACCATTACTTAGTTTGTCAACTCCTGGCCAATTTTATTTCATTTGTCCACATCCAGGCCCTCTCCTACCCCTGATTATTCTGAAGTTAATTTCACATAATCTTACCTTAGAAATATTTCTTTACAAGTACATTAAATTTTTTATCTGTAAAAACTGTTGTCATTATTATCTTTTCCAATAGACATGGCTCTTTGGTTACGAACTAACAGATACTATCATGGTCTTCTGTGATGACAAAATCATTTTTATGGCCAGCAAAAAAAAAGTGGAGTTCTTGAAACAGATTGCCAACACCAAGGGCAATGAGAATGCTAATGGAGCCCCTGCCATCACATTGCTGATACGAGAAAAGGTCAGAACTAATAAAGAATGTGTCATAAATGTGAAAGAATGTTTTAAAACTGATCAACAGAAATGCCTTCTAGGAATTTAAAAGAATAAGAGGGAAAGGTTGTAGCTGAGGGTGGTTATAATTTCAAAGTTCCTCATTGTTAAGTAGAAAAGATATGAATAACTGTCAGTTTTTTGGCAAAACAAACTTTATCAGTCCATACTGTCAACTTATGATTGTTTTCATCTGAGTACCGTAATTTAGAACAAATAGCTTCAAATATTCTTAAGGACATTTAGATACACCTTAGTTCTAGTTTTTATTAAATGTAATTTTATTTTTTTATTTGTTTTGTTTTTGTTTTGTGTGCTTTTTTGTTTGTTTTTTGTTTTTGTTTTTATATTTGTTTTTTGTCACACTGCTCACCTGACAAATATTTCTTTCTCAAAATATTGTTCACCTATGTATTTGAGTTCCTCAGTTGTTCCTGGGGGGAAATGATCTTGTCAACTTTTATGGCACTTCGCCTAAGCATATAAAAGTATACAAAGAAATGTGTTAACTTTTGGTTTGTTACTGTTTTCCCTAAAGAAGTGGGTAGGGCCTTAGATAGAATTTATTCTTTCCAGGGTCTAGAATATTTGTCTCTGCTGTTTTTTACTAGTAGTACATAAATGTCTAATTCTAAAACCAACTGACAAACCCCTCTTCTTCCCTGTGACACAAATAGAATGAAAGTAATAAAAGCAGCTTTGACAAAATGATTGAAGCCATTAAAGAAAGCAAGAATGGCAAGAAGATTGGAGTGTTCATCAAAGACAAATTCCCTGGAGAGTTCATGAAGAGCTGGAATGACTGCCTCAACAAAGAGGGCTTTGACAAGGTAAGAATACTCCTGGAAAGAAGCAAATTGAGAGTTGAGAAGGCAAAAGTGTGATGGACCTCCATAATAGATAGTGCAGAGAATATAGGAAAACTACATTATTTTACATTTCCATTTTACATTCCCTTTGACCAGTAAGTCTTTTTTTTTTTTTTTTTTTTTTAATTTTATTGATTTCAGAGAGGAAGGAGATGGGGAAAGAGAGATAGAATCATCAACGATGAGAGAGAATCATTGATCAGTTACCTTCTGCAGGGCCCACACTAGGGATAGAGCTTACAACCTGGGCATGTGCCCTAACCGAGAATTGAAACCTGACCTCCTGGTTCATAGGTCGACACTCAACCACTGACCCACACTAGCTAAGCCAGTAAGCCATTTTACTTAGGTGTGAGGCATTCAGGAGATAGATAGTTGAGCTATTTAGAGTAAATCTCTTGTCCAGAAAAATTTTGTTTTTTTCCCTCTGATTGCCTGCCTATCTTTCTTCAACCTTTACAAAAATGTCTAGAGAGGGGCATTTATATTTAAAATGGTAGTTTAATGCCTCTTAAAATGTACACAGTGACCTGGTAAAGAGTTACTTCAGATGTTTATTCAATCCAAGAAAGGAATATTTAAATATTCTGGAAACTGCTAATGAATCGTTTGCTAAATAACCTAATATTGTCACTTATAATATTCACTTTGGAGAGATTAATTTATTTAGCAATTCTATATCTGCATGTTAAAAACTCTTACCACTTTGACTGCAGGTAGATATCAGTGCAGTTGTGGCCTATACCATTGCTGTAAAGGAGGATGGGGAGCTCAACCTAATGAAGAAAGCAGCTAGCATCACCTCTGAGGTCTTCAACAAATTCTTCAAAGAAAGAGTCATGGAAATAGTTGATGCAGACGAGGTAAATGGAGAGGGGAAAGTATTACTGTTTTTAATAAACCAGAAGTACCTTATCATGCAGTGTTTTGGTATGTTCAGCTTCCTTTAAAATTAAGCCTTTGATAACTAAGTTGATGGTATATCATTGTGCCAGCTCTCTCTCTCAAAATAACTATAGCCCTGAACTATAGTTTTTTGTGTTTACCCAATATTTTACTTGAAAATTTTCTAAATACTTGTGATTTCCACATATTATTGTCTTAAGTTTGCTTTGGACATAAACCAGTATGTTATCTAGTGCACAAATCATTTCATATGATTTTTATAGCATCCTAAGGAATACCAGGATATATGTTGTCATCCATTGATAACATCCAAAATTATAGCATCCCTTTTTGCCACCCTGTAGTAAGTATTGTTTCATTTTTGGGTACACTTATAGAAAGTTCGACACAGCAAACTGGCTGAATCTGTGGAAAAGGCCATTGAAGAGAAAAAGTACCTAGCTGGGGCAGACCCCTCTACTGTGGAAATGTGTTATCCTCCTATCATTCAGAGTGGTGGCAACTATAATCTCAAGTTCAGTGTGGTGAGGTAAGTTTGAGAATTTCAAAATAAAACAGCTAGAGCATGTCAACCTTTAGCCTATTTTTCCTTTGACTCATTCTGGAATTCAGAAAATTGGGATACAGAATAATTATTACTCTGCTTTCTATCTTGTCTTATTCCATGCATATTTCTATTTTATTTCACACAGTTACTCATTTTTTACTTGAGCATTTGATTGTAAGCATTTTCCAAATTATTAAAAATGCCTGGCAAAAAATGCGAAACACCACACACACACACACAAAAAAAAAACAACATAAAAATCTTATTAAGTGTTCTATAATATAACCCCTTTTAATTAAAAAAAAAAAAATACTATAAAGAATGCTTTTTTTCCCCCTGGTCAAACCTGAAGGAACTATTTCAGAGTGAATACTGCATTTCATAGTGGACTTACCATCATACTATCTATAATAATAAAAGCATAATATGATAATTAGACTGGACAGCTGGACAACCTTCCAGAAAAAGCCAGAGCTGCAAGGGCCGAGGCAAGCCACCATGGCTATGAGGGCTGAGGCCCTTGCACAAATTTCATGCATCATTCCTCTAGTTAGAACATAATGAATAGAATATAGTATCTCCTTTGCATAATTAGGAAACAACTCAACTTCTCACTGAATTTTTACCCTAAAAGTTTGGTCACTAATTTTACTCCAGGACCTTTATAAACTGGTTTATGAAAAAAAAAAAAAAAAAAAATTAGGTCATTCTGGTTCAGCTTTGGGATGTAGCAGGGAAAGTTAATGATACATATGTTATGTGTCAAAGATACTAAGGACTTTACTAGTTTGGGCAATCAGTGAAATGCTTTCTTCCTTTGATTTCCAGTGATAAGAATCACATGCATTTTGGTGCCATCACTTGTGCTATGGGTATTCGTTTCAAATCTTACTGCTCCAACCTTGTTCGCACTTTGATGGTTGACCCCTCTCAGGAAGTTCAAGAAAATTACAACTTTTTGCTCCAGCTTCAAGAGGAGCTGCTAAAGGAATTAAGACACGGTGAGGTGCCTTGCAAAAGAAGGTTTGGAAATCAAGTAACAAAAGTGTTATTAATATTTATATCACTTTATGTTAGTAGATTTTACTAACTTCTAATTATCCTAGCATTTTAGTTCTTGAATCTACTTTTAGGCATGTATGGTTATTGTAGTTTTACATTGATTTTTATAAAAACTTCTCTGGTTATACCACTATGTCCAAATCTTTATAAAATATCATAGCCTTATTACTCTTCTTTAGAATTTTAGAAAGTTCTTTTTCTTTTTAATTGAGGTGTAATTGACATACAAAATTATGTTAGTTTCAGGTGTACAACATAATGATTTAGTATTGTGTTTATTGAAAAACACTCACCACAGCAAGTCTAGTTAACGATTGTCACCATAAAGATTTATTTCTCTTGTGATGAGTGGCAACTTTTAAGATTTACTCTCTTAGCAACTTTCAAATATACAAGACAGTTTTAATGACCATTAAATATAACGTTAGGTTTGCCCTTGTCATATATTGCCTTTATTATGTTGAGGTACATTTCTTCTATAACCACTTTCTTGATTTTTTTAATAAATGGACATTGAAATTTGTCAAATGCTCTTTCTGCATGTATTGAGGTAATTATATGATCTTTACCTTTGTATTGTTAATGTGGTGTATCACGTTGATTGAATTATGAGTGTGGGATCATCCATGTATTCCTGTTCTAAGTCCCTCTTGATCATGGTGTATGATCCTTTTAGTGTATGGATTTAGAAGCACCTTAGAAAGTTAAAGAGCTAGTATCTCTATCAACAGAATGTGTCATGTTAATTCTATGTTTGATAGAATTATCTTAGCGTAAGAGCAGAACTAATTGCAATCCTGCTAATAAGCAAGATACAGCCTCTTTTAAGACTGTCACCCCCAAATGGCTAAGCAGGACTTTATATTTACCACCTTTAAGCACTTTGTAAGCCCGTCTATGTGGCCCAGAGTGTCCAGACATCATTTCCCATGATATTTCAAGTCAAGTTTGAGAAATCCTATTGGAAATCTTAATCATAGGTGATTTAATGCGGATAAAGATCGCTCTAAGGCTATCATATGTAGACTACTCTGGCCACTCTTTCTGTAGTCCTGTTTTCAAAATTTATAGTAATTTAGTGTATTGCCATTTATCAACACTTAAAAAGCTATTTCTCTGAGACAACTAGTGTTCCACAGTCTCCCAGGTCAGTATTTCTCAAATAGTGTAATTTAAAATGACAGAATGGGTTGTTTGAAAAAATACAAATTTCTAAGCCCTACCATTCCTAAAAAAACTATATTGCTTATTTTACACTTGAGAAACCCTGCTTTAGAAGAGACATAATAAGTTGGGGAAAGTTGATTTTTAAATATGGGGCTTTTTATTTTCTGGAAGATACTTTTTTTTTTTAATAAATTTTTATTGTTCATATTATTACAAATGTTCCTCTCTCCCTACCCCCCAAACCCCATTACATTGCTCTCTTCCACCAGGTTCCCACCCCACCCTCTGCCCTTTCCCCACCCCCCATTGTCCTCATCCATAGGTGCACAGTTTATGTTCAGTCTCTTCCCACATCCCCCTCTCCCCTTTTCCCCAAGAATCGTCAGTTCACTCCCCTTCCATACCTCTGATTCTATTATATTCAACAGTTAATATTGTTCATCAGTTTTTTTAATTTCCTTGGTTTTTAGATTCACTTGTTGATAGTTACGTATTTGTTGTTCATAATTTTTATCTTTATTTATATCTCTTCCGAAAGAACCCCCTTCAGCAATTCATATAATTCTGGTTTGGTGGTGATGAACTCCTTTAGCTTTTTTTTATTAGTGAAGCCCTTTATCTGGCCTTTGATTCTGTGTGATAGCTTTGCTAGGTAGATTATCTCTGGCTGTAGGTTCTTAATATTTATCACCTTGAATATTTCTTGCGATTCCCGTCTGGCCTGCATGGTTTCTGTTGAGAAATCAGCTGACAATCGTATAGGTGCTCCTTTATAGGTAACTACCTGCTTTGCTCTTGCTGCTTTTAATATTCTCTCTTTGTCTTTTGCTCTTGGAATTTTAATTATGATTTGTCTTGGTGGGTCCTCTTTGGATTCCTTTTGTTTGGAGTTCTGTGCGCTTCCTGGACTTGTAAGTCTAATTCTTTCACTAGGTGGGGGAAGTTTTCTGTCACTATTTCTTTCAGTATGTTTTTGATATCTTGCTCTCATCTTCTGGGACCCCATAATTCTGATGTTGGTTCGCTTAAGTTGTCCCAGAGGTTTCTTACATTATCTTCAATTTTCTGGATTCTCTTGCCTTCTAGCTTCTGCGGAGGAGTGTCTTCTGGCTCTTTATGTTCCAAATCTTTGACTTGGTTCTTGCGATCTTCCATTCTGTTTTTAGGACTCTGTATAATATTTTTTATTTCAGACAATGTATTCTTTATTTTTTGTTGATCCCTTATAATTTCTCGTTGATTCCTTATTAATTCTAGTTGATCCCTTTTCATATCCTCATAGGTCTTATCGACCTTTTCTAGGAAATTCTTGAAAAACCTTATAAGCGTAGATTTGAACTCTATATCCAGTCGCTTTTTGTCCTCCATTTCTTTTGTTTGTGATCTATTTCATTGTCGCATTTTTGCAGCTTCCCTGATGGGGCGGGGTTTCAGGGTGGTGCCTTGGCTTCCGTCAACCCTGCCCTATGCGGATCCTTCAGTACTCGCTGCAAGCACCTCTGAGAGAAAGATGCCCTTGATTTTCACCTGCTACCAAACCGTCTAGGCTCTCCCCCAATGAGCCCGGAACTGGGGTTCAGTTCAGTTGGAAGTGGAGTTGGAGGTGGTGTTCAGAGCAGTCCGGAGCTTTTGTCTCCTTCCTGCCAGGGCAATCCGCAGCACAACCAACTATCCCTTCTCTGCGTGCAATGTGCGTGCCTCTGGGACCTCCTTTCGCTGCTCCCCCGGGGTTCCGCCTTACAGCCCAGCTCCCTGTGGATGAACCTGGGTCCCCAGGATCTGGCCTAGAACTGGGGTTCAGAGCAGTCAGAACTGGGGCCCAGCACAGTCGGAGTTTTTATCTCCTTCCCTCTGGGGAACGCCAGCCAGGCAATCAGCTGCCCCTTCTCTCCCGCTCCGTCCTCTCCGCGCGCCGTTTGTCTCCGTACCTCGGGCTTTTACAGCTCCTCCGCGCTTCCTTCTGGTTTTCTCCTTGCTTCTCGTTGTAGAATTTCCAGTCAGTTAACTTTCCTGTAGTTCTGGGTAATGTCCATTTTATATTATAGTTGTATTTTATTGAAATTGTTGTGTGCGGCTGCAGCTAGGTGTTTACCTGTGCAGCCATCTTGGATTCTCCTGGAAGATACTTAATTCTCTTTCTGTCTTGTCATTAGGTGTGAAGATATGTGATGTTTATAATGCTGTCGTTGACATGGTTAAAAAGCAGAAGCCAGAACTGTTGAACAAAATTACTAAAAACCTAGGGTAAGATGCTATGAATGTAAGTTATCACTCTAAGTAAATTTTTATGACTGGCTATGTTCAGGCAAACTATTTTGAGATTGACTCAACCAACAGTTATGGACTGTTATACTTAACTTTGTGCCAGACACATCATGTTATCAGAGAAAGTGAGAGATTTAAATTCGTCTCTGAGAAATGGGAAGATTTTTCTAGACTGAAAGCAATAAGGGTTTCAGGCTTAATCTACAAATGTTAAGAAACATTACATACTATATTTTCTTAGAGCATCTCAGTTCACATTTGAAAATTAAATACTGTGAGCCTTGTGACCCAGCGATTCTGGGTATATATCTGAAGAAACCTAATTCGAAAGAATATTTGGTCCCCAATGTTCATTGCAGTATTGTTTACAATAGCCAAGCTATGAAGTAATTGTGGTACATATATAAATGGAAATCTTACCATTTGCAATAGCATGGTTGGACCTAGAAGGTATTATGTTAACTGAAATAAGATAGAACAACAAATACCATGTGATATCACTGACATGTGGACTCTAAAGAACAATATAAGTGAAGAAGCAAAATAAAACAGAAACAGACTCATACATCCAGAGAACAGAATAATGGTTGCTAGAGGGGAAAGGGCTAAAGGCATTGAGAAGTACAGACTGTTACACAATTGTCGGGGATAATAAAGTATTGCATAGGTAATACAGTTATTAATGCTATATAATAGAAAGCTAGTATGCAAATAGTCCGCACCGTAATAGCTCACATACTCAGCACTGGGAAGAGAGGAATGGGAACCAGCCAGGCTGAGGCCCAAGAGAGGAACAAGCTGCCCACCCCTCGGTCCCCGGCACCAGGACAAGCTGCCTGCCCCACGGTGCTGGGTGCCAGTGGTTTCGTCTGCATCTGCAGGCCGGGAGAGTCACAGACTGCCTGCGGCTGTGGCCTGGGCAAAGCCACCCGCCCACAGTCCCCTGTGGCTGCGGCCAGCCAGGTCTAAGCCAGCCCGGTTCCTGGGTGCCTGCCACCGGCCAGAGGAGGGAATCTTGGGTCCTGGGTGTGGGGCAAGGCAGAGGTGGTTAGGGGCAATCAGACAGGCAGAGGGGTTAGAGGCGATCAGGCAGGCAGACAGACGGGTTAGGGGCAATCAGGCAGGTGATTGATTAGGAGCCAGCGGTCTCGGATTGTGAGAGGCAATCAGACATCCCCCAAGAGGTCCTGGATTGAAAAGGGTGCAGGCTGGGCAGGAGGGTTCATTACCCTCCTGCCCAACTCTCCCCTCCCTTCCACCGTGTAAAAATTTCCTGAACCAGGCCTCTAGTATTATAATAACTATGTAGGTGCCAATTAGGTACTGGACATATTAAGGGAAACACTTTGTAAAATGTATGATTGTCTAACCAGTATTCTGTATATCTGAAATTACTATGAAGCAATACTGAATATAAACTGTAACTTAAAAAACAAAATAATTTTGGTTTAAAAAAAATTAAACACTCTGAGAAGTCCTATTGTTTTAGAAAAAAAATATTTGAATTTTTACTTAATCCAGTGTTTCACAAATGTATTTGACCATTGAATACCTAGAAATAACTGATAACATTTTATAGAATCCAAGACATTTTGGAAAACAAAAGCTATAGGCAATCTCTTTAGATAGAAAGTAGTCTGGGGTATATAGTTACTACTTGGGCTTCTCTGATAGAATAAGAGGAAATTTATTGATCTAAATAGCAAGTCTTGGCCCAGGTGACTTGATGAGTCTACTTACCAACATTCCACTAAAAATTGCCTCTCTTGATTCAATTATACTATCTTAATTGCGTCTTAATAGTCTCTGCTAGGCTTATAGGAAAACTCCTAACTTGATTTCATGGTAGAGGTTAAAATTTAAATGTAGGTGAATAAGTTAAAATAAAGAACACTTGATACAATAAATGTTACTTGGGGTACTTTATTAGGATATTATTTTTAGCTTATAAAAAAGGCAGAGACTGCCAAAACCAGTTTGGCTCAGTGGATAGAGCGTCGGTCTGTGGACTGAAGGGTCCCAGGTTCGATTCCGGTCAGGGGCATGTACATTGGTTGCGGGCACATCCCTGGCATGGGGTGTGCAGAAGGCAGCTGGTTGATATTTCTCTCTCATCGACGTTTCTGGCTCTCTATCCCTCTTCCTTCCTCTCTGTGGAAAATCAATAAAATATATTTTAAAAATAAAATAAATAAATAAATAGGCAAAGACTATTCTCTCTAATCTTCCTTAAATGACTGATCAGCAGCAGCAAATCACTCAACATGTTTGCCTGCCTTATCCTGAAAATTAAAGTAGAATAAATTACGGGAGCATTTGAGATCTTCCTGTCATATGTCACCAGTTTGGCTCAACTAAACTCTTAATTAGGGGTGGGAGGTAGGCTACTCTGCCTGCGGAGTAGCCTTATCTCTGTCCTACTTATTCACGAATAAACTCTTTCATTTTAAACTCTAAAAAAAAGAAATAGAATATATTATACTCGACCCATGTATGAGATCTATTAGTCTATTGCTAAAGTTTCTTGTTTCCTTTTCTAGGTTTGGAATGGGAATTGAATTCCGTGAAGGCTCCTTAGTAATTAATAGTAAAAATCAGTATAAACTGAAGAAAGGTGAGTTTTACATGCATGCAGTAGGGAAATACTGTTTTGAATAATTTTCTTTATCTTCCTTTTTTCTATATAAAATCTATATTTCTCCATCCTTTCAGAGTCATAGTTTGATTCTTGTTTTGCTATTTTAGGAATGGTTTTCAGCATCAATTTGGGCTTCTCAGACCTAACTAACAAGGAAGGGAAGAAACCAGAAGAGAAAACCTATGCCCTATTCATTGGTGACACAGTTCTTGTGGATGAGGTCTGCATTGCTTAAACTTTTGAGTGTTCATGAATTGACTTTTGAGGGGCATTTTGTACTTCTTAAAAGTCTTTGTTAATGTCGGGACCGGTTTGGCTCAATGGATAGAGCGTCGGCTGGGGGACTGAAGGGCCCCAGGTTCGATTCTGGTCAAGGGCGTGTACCTTGGTTGCGGGCATATCCCAGTGGGGGGTGTGCAAGAGGTGCTGATCGATGACTCTCTCTCATTGATGTTTCTATCTCTCTCCCTTCCTCTCTGTACAAAAATCAATAAAATATATTAAAGAAAAAAAAAAGTCTTTGTTAAATGCTAGCCAAGGGGAGAAATTCATGTGACAGCCTGGCCTAATATAGCTAGGAATAGAGATTGTTGTCCATGTACAGGGAATAATGTAAAGCACACTGTTATCACATTATGGCTTCAACCATGATAATATCAGGAGCCGATTCTAATGAAACTGATTTATAATTCAGCCACTTAAAGTGTATGGTTTAGTAACTTCTCCGTATATTCAGTTGTTCAGCCATTACCACAATGTAATTGCAGAACATTTTCACCATCTCAGAAAGAAACCCTGTACCCATTAGCAGTCATTCCCATTTTCCCCCCAAGTCCCCTAGGTCTAGACAATGACTAAACTACTTTCTGTCTCTAAGGATTTGCCTGTTCTGTACATTTGGGGTCTTCTGTGTTTTGATTTTTGTTTTTCCACTTAGCAGGAACTGATTCTTGATTATGATGATGATGATGATGATGATAGCAAATATGTCAGTGTTATTATAAGATAAGCACTTCTATGCATTAATTTATTGAATCCTTACAATAATCCTATTAAGTAGATACTCTTATCCTCTTATACAGAAAAAGAAACTGAGGCACAGAGAAGTTTAAGTAACTTGCCAAATGTTACACAACTAGATAGGGATTGAGCTAGATTTCAAATCAAGTCTGTGTGCATTGGTTTGGATTTGTAGCAGGCCCATCCCCTGGGTTTCTCATAGTGTCCCATGCCAGAGCACGCTGTGACCTTGAAACATAACCTGGTCCCTGACTATAGGCTGCAGGCACTGGAGCAGGTTACAAAGTGAAGGGGAGAGAGCGCTATTTTTAAAAAATGTATCTTTATTGATTTCAGAGAAGAAGGGAGAGGGAGAGATAAAACATTAATTTAAAAAAAAAAAAAAAAAAGAAACATCAGTGAGTGAGAATCACTAATGATGAGCCCTACACTGGGCATCAAGCTTGCAACCCGGGCATGTGCACTGACCAGGAATCAAACAATGACCTCCTGGTTCATAGGTTGATACTGAGCCACACCAGCCAGGCTCAAGCCTGTAATTTTAAATGTTAACCCAATGTTGCCTTCCAGTTCTAGTTCCTACTGAGAGATTGGAACCTAAGAGCTGTATTTATTCATTATCAAAGAATCTAGTATCCAGAGGTTCAAAGGATTTCCCAGGTACATACTAGCTGGAAAGTGAAAGTGTTTCCCTTAAGGGTTCTTACAGATATCTGACTTTTCCGTTTTATTCTAGGATGGTCCAGCCACTGTTCTCACTTCCGTGAAGAAGAAAGTAAAGAATGTGGGGATTTTTCTAAAGGTAGGAAGAGGATAAATGTATGTTATAGGAATTTTGGGTACAGTGAAGAAGATATAAAATATTGACTAAAAAGTAAAAACCCAAATTTCTGATTATAACTTTTTCCCCATAGAATGAGGATGAAGAAGAAGAGGAAGAGGAGAAAGATGAGGCTGAAGACCTTTTGGGAAGAGGTTCACGGGCAGCATTACTTACAGAAAGAACACGAGTGGGTTTACTGTTTTTAACTACATTGATCTCGTATTGGTCATGGTTCACATGTTTTGATAGCTTTTTTTTTTTTCTTCTCTAGAATGAGATGACTGCAGAAGAGAAGCGAAGAGCACATCAAAAAGAATTGGCAGCTCAACTCAATGAGGAAGCAAAGAGGCGACTGACTGAACAGAAAGGAGAACAGCAGATTCAGAAGTAACTGAGTTTGCATTTTGAGCATTATCGCAGAATGTATTTCGTATTTTGCAAAAGTTTCTCATAAAATGTTTTATTCCCCACTCCAGAGCTCGAAAATCTAATGTGTCCTATAAAAACCCATCTTTGATGCCTAAGGAACCACATATTCGGGAAATGAAGATCTATATTGATAAGAAATATGAGACTGTAATAATGCCTGTGTTTGGCATAGCAACGCCTTTTCACATTGCCACAATTAAGGTACTAACATTGAATTAGGTTCCTTTCAAACTTTTTCTTAAAATAGTAATTCATTTAAAAATAGATTATTCTTTTGTCTAAATCATCTCTCTGACACTTCTTTAGACTCTACCCTTCTCTTTTATCTTCTGCTATCATTTTCCTTCCTTTCAGTTTTCACTTTTAGAGGGTTTATTGGTCTAGTCTAGAAGCATAATTGTCCTCTTTTCTTTGAACCTTTTTTTTTAAGCGTTTGTAACCTGTGGTTGTACACGTAGCATAAGTAGTTGGAGAGCTCATGATTCTTTTGGAAATATAATTGGTCATATAAAGAAATATGCTCAATATGTAGGTTTAGCAATCAGCCTTATAATTCCTAACTTAATTTTAGCATTTCTATTAAAATTTTTATCAAGGAAAGAATCCTATTTAATTTAATGCTGTTTCTTTTTTAACAGAATATAAGTATGTCGGTGGAAGGAGATTATACTTACTTGAGAATTAACTTCTATTGCCCAGGCAGTGCTCTGGGCAGGAATGAAGGCAACATTTTTCCTAACCCAGAAGCCACTTTTGTCAAGGAAATGTGAGTTCCCAAGAAAATAACCACCCCCAATTGCTTGCTGGCTGGAGTGTCACTCAGAAGCATCTCATTGTCTGTGCTGTCCTCCCCATCTAGTTAGTGAATGGCAAAGCCTCCCTCAGTGACACTTGTTTAGAATCACCTTTCAGGCTTTGTATTACTTTGAAAATGAAACATAATTTAGAATCCTCATGAAAATATTTTTTACTTAACTACACATATTTTGCAATAGAATCTCAAGAAAGATGTGCCGAATTGTAGTCTATTCTTTCATGGTTTGGAATGAGGTCAGATTTGAAAAATAAGTATGATTGTCCCACCCAATGGATTAGCCAACATTCTCTATTCAAGAGAGAAGAAAAGAGGTGGTTTATTTGTTTAGCTTTTCAAACGTCGTTTCTCCATTCAGTGGTGCTATTTTCTTCTAAAAATATTAAGCCAGTTATAAAATATAGTGAAAAATGCAGGTAACCTAGCCTGATGAAGAAACTCATATAAATGCTTCCCCCTTTCTACAGTACATACCGAGCTTCAAATATGAAGGCACCTGGAGAACAGACAGTACCAGCCTTGAACCTTCAGAATGCTTTCCGGATTATAAAAGAGGTACAGAAGCGTTATAAGACACGGGAAGCAGAAGAGAAAGAGAAGGAGGTAAGCATGAATACCACAGACAAAGCAACTTTCTGCAAAAGGACACGTGGGTTTGGGGGACATGTAAAGATACCTGAAGATTCACATTAATTTTCATTCTGCTTAGGGCATTGTGAAACAAGACTCCCTGGTGATCAATCTAAACCGGAGTAACCCCAAACTAAAAGATCTATACATTCGGCCAAACATTGCCCAAAAAAGGATGCAAGGTTCACTGGAGGCCCATGTCAATGGTATGGACCATCTCATGTGCCGGGGCTTTGTCTCAGGGACACATTTGTAAGAACGACACATCAGATATAGAGTACAACAAGGAAATGCTGGAAGGAATCTACTTAATGTTGCTGCATGGACAGAATGAAAGGAAAGCTGTGTACATTTGTTGGCATTTCCTCTGACCCTGTTCAAATCAGTAAAGAAAGGTGCAGTGCCTTTTGGCCAAGCTCAGGGTGCTGCTTGGTAATTAGCTGCTTCCTCCACTCCTCCCCCAGGTTTCCGCTTCACATCTGTTCGAGGAGACAAAGTGGATATTCTGTACAATAACATCAAGCATGCATTGTTCCAGCCCTGTGATGGAGAAATGATTATTGTCTTGCACTTTCACCTCAAGGTATACCTTTCTACTCACTAGCTATGTAATCTTGGACAAGATCTCTCAGTCAGCCTTTAAGATATTGTTGAAAATGTTACCGGTCATATATGGTCATTAAGGAGATTGAATAAAATAAATGTTTATAAAGCCCTAGCCAGCATGGCTCAGTGGTTGGAGCATCAGCCCATACAAAAGGCCCATGGGTTTGATTCCCAGTCAAGGGCATGTACCTAGGTTGCTGGTTCAATTCCTGGCCCTAGTCAGGGCATGTGTGGGAGGCAACCAATCAATGTATCTCTCTCACATGGATGTTTCTATCTTCCCCCTCTCCCTTCTCCTTACCTTCCACTCTCTCTAAAAACCAATGCAAAAAATATCCTCTATGGGGGTTGAAAATAGTTATATTAATAATGCTTATAAATCTGCAGTGCCTAACATCTAGAAGGTGCTAAATGTCTTTGTTCCTTTAGTGATGATACATAATGAACACCAAAACATAATAAGGTCTCAATTCCTCTTTCTGAAATAGAAAGTTTTTGCTTTAGATACAATTTATTACCAATATAATCTCCAAAGTCCATTATAATAAGTAGGAGTACTTTTTAAAGTTAATACTCTTTCACATTCCCAAGTGTCATTAGTTTATAGTGACTTCAGGAATAGTTAACCCATCTAAGAAAGGGTAATATGCAGACTGACTGAACGGGGGAACGACTGGTCACTATTGCCCCCTGGTAGTCGGTGCGCTCCCATAAGGGGAGCACCACTCAGCCAGACACCAGCTCATGGTGGCCAGCGCAGCAGTGATGGCAAGAGCCTTTCCCATGTCTGCAGCAGCACTATGGATGTCAGGCCCACTCCCCGCAGGATATCCCTCTGAGGTCTCCTGGACCATGAGAGGGCGCAGGCTGGGCTGAGACAAACACCCCCCACCACCACCACCGTGCACAATTTTGTGCACCAGGCTTCTAATTCTAGTTAATAAAGATGGAATATGCTAATTGACCATCACGCCCTCACAGAGATGGTGGTGCCTAGTCCCCTCAGCAAAAACCCCCCCCCGCAGGTTGGCAGGCATGTGGCATGGCTGGGCCCGCCCCCAGGCAGGTCCGGCTATGCCATGTGCCTGCCTCCAGAATCCCTCAGGCTTCTCAACCCTCCAGCCAGCCAGGGCTGGCCCAAGGCTCAGGCAAGCCTCTGATGGTAGCTGCCCAGCCACCCAAGGCTGCCTGAGGACAGGTAATCAGGACTGGCTGAGGTATGTGCTGCCAGCAGTGGCAGCAGTAGAGGTGTGATAAGGGCATCACCTTCCCCTGATTGCCAGGTTGCCTTCTACACCTAACAGCTCCCCAACTGAGAGGGGGCAGGCTGGACTGAGATCCGTGTCCCGTCCTGGCCCCCTTCTTCCCCCAGCCCCGTGCAAGAATTTTCATCACTGGGCCTCTAGTTTTTACATAAGTGCTGTCATTTCTATTATAGTAATATTTTTATATTTTCACATTTTGTTGTTATCTTGCTTTCTTATCTGTTGTATAGACTAACTTTTCTGACTTCTTTCTGCCTTTTGCCCTCAGAATGCCATCATGTTTGGGAAAAAGCGGCACACAGATGTACAGTTTTACACAGAAGTGGGAGAGATCACCACGGATTTGGGAAAACATCAACATATGCATGACCGAGATGACCTCTATGCTGAGCAGGTCTGTGAAATTTAGTATTTTATCTGCAAGGTAGTGAGATAGAATGTAATCCAAATCTGAGTTCAGTAATTGTTATGTTTTGTAAAGAACCTCTGAATCTATCTAGAGAATAACTTAGATATCTGCTGAGTTTGTGTGCTACAGTGGCTTATGGATTAGACTTGGGTTTCAGACTCAGCTCTACAGTTAATGGTATGATGGCTTGTAATTTGGTATACCCATTAGTATCATAGTTATGACTGCAAAAGCACTTCAGAAGGGATACATTGTTAAAGTAAAGTAATAGCTGTAGTTAATTAGTATTTTTTTTTTTTTCTCTTCTACAGATGGAACGAGAAATGAGGCACAAACTGAAAACTGCCTTTAAAAATTTCATTGAGAAAGTAGAGGCTCTAACCAAGGAGGAACTGGAATTTGAAGTGCCTTTTAGGGACTTGGGGTAACATATCTTTCTTTTTTTTAAATATATTTTTATTGAGTTCAGAGAGGAAGGGAGAGGAAAAGAGAGAAACATCAATGATGAGAGAATCGATCCGCTGCCTCCTGCACATCCTACACTGTGGACCGAATCCACCACCCAGGCATGTGTCTGACGGAGAATAGAACTGTGACCTCCTGGTTCCTAGGTCAACATTCAACCCCTGAGCCCCGCCGGCCAAGCAAATCTCTTTTTTCTGGCCTGAAGTTTCACTGGTCTACCTTTTACAAAAATTGGTTATTCTTTCTTTCGTAATAATTTAATATACCTTCTCCTTTTTCATATAACTGATATCCTTTGAGATATTTATTTACTCTTGAAACTTTAAGGGCTCTGGAATGAGTGGCTAAATCTGAGAGGCTTCCTTTGTATTTTGAGTATGCTGGAGTTGTTGGGAATGGGAAATAGATGTTTATTGTGGCAGTAACAGTTTCTCTTGCAACAAGTTTAGTCTTAATGCGGTTTCTTTTCTTATCTCTTTCAGGTTTAATGGAGCGCCCTACAGAAGTACTTGCCTCCTTCAGCCCACTAGTAGTGCGCTGGTAAATGCTACAGAATGGGTGAGTATATCTAACCCCTTTTAGTAAGAAAATAGAGAAAACGGAGGATAGGTGTTTTGAGGAGTTGATGTATGTTATTTCTTTTGATACTTATCTTAGACAAAAGACATATTGAACAAATGTTTCTTTATAAGCCTTTTTAGTTTTTTGATAGTTTATATAGTTTCCTTAAATTTATTCTTGAGAAGATTTTAATCTTGCGGATTCTCCTTAATATGTTGTACTGCTATTAGTCTTTCAAAAAAAAGAAAACCCAAAAATTGTTTAGTTAATCTTTATGTAATGGTTTAGATTCTGAAAGTATTTGAAATTGCTAATATGTAATATTTGGCAAAGTATTTATATGATAATGATCCAGTTCCTCCTTGACAGCCACCTTTTGTGGTGACATTGGATGAAGTTGAGCTGATTCACTTTGAGCGGGTTCAGTTTCACCTGAAGAACTTTGATATGGTAATAGTCTACAAGGACTATAGCAAGAAAGTGACGATGATAAATGCCATTCCTGTTGCCTCTCTTGACCCCATCAAGGAATGGTTGAAGTAAGTAAATCTGCCAGCAATCTCCCATTTACCCCATGAATCCTATATTATCTTTGTATATAAAATCCTAAGCGACTGGTTGCTATGATGCTCACTGACTTAACTGGGCAGACACTGAACGCGAGAGCTGCTACGCCCCCCCACCCCCCACCCCCCACCCCTGGCAGTCAGTGCAGGAGCACCGCTCAGCTGATCGAAGGGCTACTGCCAGACTCTGGGCTCACCACTGGCAAGTGCACCTACAGCCGGTACACAGATCCATGCACTGGGCCTCTAGTAAAATATTAGGATGGTATGTTATACATAAAAATATGATATACTTAAGGTGAGACTGTCTTTGGTTTGAGTTACAGACTGGGACTTGAAAATTCAGATTCTTTAGAGCTATTCACTTTTTTCTAAATAACCAACAATAATTTATGGATACTTACACAAGGAAAATCAAAGTCAGATCTTTTGTAACTCTGATATAAGATCTATACACATTTATAATAATATCTATAAACAGTGGGGTGTGTTTCTTTCTTGTTCTCTCTTATTACTGGGATAAGACAGATAGAAGTTTTATTTTATTTTACTTTATTTTTTAGTCCTCATCCAAGGAATTTTTTTCATTGATTTTCAGAGAGTGAAAGAGATATATCAATCAGTTGCCTCCTGCATGTGCCCCAACCAGGGCTAGGCATCAAACCAGAGACCCTTTGGTGCATGAGCTGACGCTCTAACCACTGAGGCATGCTGACCAGGTTTTTTTTATTTTTGCCATTAACACCATATGCTTTCACTTCAGCTAAAAGTATTTCTCATGGAAGTACCAGAATCCCAATAAGCAGGGATATGTTCGTTACTCCCTAGGTAATGTGTGAGGCTTGAGTAGCCATGAGTATAATTTGCTCTGCCCCTTTCCTTCTCCCTTCATTATCTGGAAAAAGAAGGTGCTCTAAATGTAGTCTCTTCATAAGAAATATGTCAAGAGCTTAGAAATAAACAGAAAAAATAGAAATTTATCGTTTCCTTAAGGATTTTCCTAAGAAATATGTGCAGGTAAATATACGATCACAAATATTATGTGTAAGATGCATATTACTATTTCAAATCAGCTTTATTGAGGTATAAGTTCCATGTAATAATGTTCAGCAATTAAAATAAATGATTTGATGAGTTCTAACAAACATATACAATCTCATATCTACCATTATATTATAATCAGGATATAGAACATTTCCTTCATTCCTAAAAGTGTTCATATCTCTTTACAGTCAATCTCCTTAACCCTGTCCCTGGTTTCTGTCATTATACACTTCGCAGAAGATTCTAGAAAAATCTAGACTGCTACATAAATGGAAATATACATGATATAACGTTTCTTTCTTGCATCCTTCACTTAGTATAATGCTTTTGAAATTTATCTAAGTTGTGCATCAGTACTACATTCTTTTTTATTACTAAGGAATATTATACTGTGTAAATAGTCCATACTTGACCAGTTAATAGGCGTTTGGGTTAATTTCATTTGGGGATCATTATGAATAGCTGTTATAAGCATTATATACAACTCTTGTATAGACATGTTTTCATTTTTCTTAGGTAAACCACCTATAATATTGGAAATGCTGGCCATATGGTTAAATTTATGTTTAGTTTTATAAGAAACTGTAAAATCATTTTCCAGGGCGCTAAAAAGCCTGTAGTGTGTGAGAATTGTAGTTGCTCCACATCCTCACCAGCACTTGTTATTTTCAGTCTTTTAAATATTATATTAGCCATGACAGTGAGTGTGTAGTGCTATTTCATTGTGCTTTCAGTTTGCATTTCCATGATAGCTCATGATGTTGAGCGCCTTTTCATATGCTATTTATCATTCTGTACCTTTGATGAAATACCTTCATATTTTTTGCCCAAATTGAAAATTTGTTACCGAGTTAAAGAATTCTTTATGCTATATACAAGTCTTCCAACAAATACAGATTTTGTATATTTTCTTTCAATAGTTTCTTTGCCTTTTCATTTTCTTAAATGTCTTTTACAAGCCAGAAGTGTAAAATGTTCACGAAAATTTTGGTCAACTTTTGCTTTTGTAATGTTGCTCTTATGTCTTATCTAATTTATTTTTTGTTGTTAATCCTCACCAAAGGTATTTTTTCCATTGGTTTTTATTGTTTTAATTCCTACCTGAGGATATTTTTCCATTGATTTTTAGAAAGAGAGAGAGAGGGCAAGACAGGGAAATATCAATGTGGGAGAAACACATTGATTGGTTGCCTCCTGCATGAGCCCTGACCAGGGCCTAGGTTGGGGAAGAGTTTGTAATCAAGGTATGTGCCCTTGACTGGAATTGAACCCGGGACTCTTTGGTCCGAAGACCAACACTCTATTCACTGAGCCAAACTGGCTAGGGCTTTTCCATTGGATTTTAGAGAGGGAGGGAGGGGAAAAGAAATAGAAAACATCGATGTGTGAGGGATACACTGGTTGGTTGTCTCCTGAACGTGCCCTGACCCAGGTTGGGGATTGAACCTGCAATATAGGTACATGCCCTTAACCAGAGAATAATCCTTTGACCTTGCAATGCATGGGTTAATGCTCTAACCACTGAGTGACACTGACCAGAGCTTATCTAATAAGTTTTGTCTCACCCAAGATCGTAAAAAATTTTCTCTCTTCTAGAGTTTTATAGATTTAGATGTTACACTCAGCTCTGTGATTAATTTTGAGTTAATTTTTTACTGTGGTATAAGGGTCAAGGTTCATGTTTTGGAGATATATATACTAGAGGCCCGGTGCATGAAACTCATGCACTGGGGGGAGCAAGGGGAGCTCAGCCAGGCCTATGTCCTCTCACAGACCTGGAACCCTGCATTCAATAGCCCCAAAGAGCAAGCTGGCCAAGTGGCCTGGGCCTCTCTCTACAGGGCAGTCAAGGGGAATGGCCAGGCCCCCGACCTATCGCATTGCACTCTCCTTGGCTGGCCTGGAGCCAGTGTATATCATAATGTGGTTGTCCAGAAGGTCGTCTGGATGGTCATTCTGCTGTTCAGTCAATTTGTATATTACACTTTTTATTATTAGAGATGGGGGGAAGGGGTTGCCTCCAATTCTAGCATGAATTGTTGAAAAGATTATCTTTTACCCATCAAATTACCTTGACATCTTTGGGGGGGAGGGGTGGTTTACCATGTAGAGGAGGGTCTATTTTTTAAAAATATAATTTTTTAACCTAGTCTCATTCATTTTTTTATTTTATTTTATTGATTTCAGAGAGGAAGGGAGAGGGAGAGATAGAAACATTAATGATAAGAGAGATAGAAACATATAGTAGAAACATTGATTGGCTGCCTCCTGCATGCCCCCCACTGTGGAACAAGCCCGCAACATGGGCATGTGCCCTTGACCAGAATCAAACCCAGGATCTTCAGTCCACAGTTCAAGGCTCTATCCACTGAGCCAAACCAGCTAGGCTAAAACTAATTAGTTCTTGTTGAAGGTATTACATATGTCCCCTTTTTTCCCCCCATTGACCCCGTCCAGCCTACCCTTGCCCCTACCCCAGGCCCTTACTGCCCCATTATCTGTGTCCATGGGCTAGGCATATATGCATACAAGGTTCTTGGTTGATTACCTCCCATTCCCCCGCCTTCCCTCCAAGATTCTGAACTCTGTTTCATGCTTTCATGTCTCTGGATCCACTCCATTCATCAATTTGTTTTGTTGCTTAGATTCCACATATGAGTGAGATCATGTGATTATAAAATGTTCATCATTTTTAGTAATATTCCTTATTTTGAAACCTGCTTGGTGCGATATTACTGTAGACTTCTGGCTTTGGTTAGTATGGCTTTTCTTTTAACTTACATTACTTTATATGAAAGTAACTTACTTGTAGATAACATATAGCATACATTTATGGCTCACTTTTTTTTTTTTAATAGAGAAGAAGGGAGAGGGATAGATAGAAACTTCGATAAGGGAGAAACATCCATCAGCTGCCTCCGGCACACCCCCTCCAGGGATCTAGCCCTGATCGGAAATTGAACCTGGGGACCTCTTGGTTCATGGGTTGATGCTTAACCACTGAACCATACCAGCCAGTCTCACTTTTTAAAATCCATTCTGAGAATGTCTACATTTTCATTGGATTGTTGAAAACAGACCATTTATGTTTAATATAATTATCAATATGATTGTGTTTAAATCTGCCATCTTGCTATTTGTTTTTCATCTGTCCTGTGCTTTATGTTTTGCTTTGTTTTTTAACATATTTTTCTTGATTTCAAAGAGGAAAAGAGAGAAAGAAAAAGAGAAGGAGGGAGGGAGAGAGAGAGAAAAAGAAACATCAATGATGAGAGAAAATCATCGATCAGCTGCCTCCTGCATGCCCCCCTGCCAGGGATTGAGCCCACAACCCAGGAATGTGCCATGACCAGGAATCGAACAGTGACCTCATGCTCAGCCACTAAGCCACATTGTTTTACTTTTATAATAATCACTCTAAAATTTACAAATACATCTTATTACCATCTCCTCTCAGACAATACATCTTTATTGTCGGAAGGTTTTTATGCTTCAATTTCTCTTCTGTCCTTTCTGCTATTGTCATATATTGTACTTCGAATATTTTATGAATTCCACAATTTATTGTCATTTCAGTTTACAAAATGAGGGGGAAAGTCTTTTGTATAACTAATATCTACCATTCCTAGTGCTCTTCATGCCATTGTGTGGTTCCAGCCTTCTATCTGAAGCCTTCTGCTATAATTTTTCTTTGCCTCATAAACTTTTAGTATTTGAAATGCAGGTTTTCTGTGTAAATTGCCTCAGTTTATTAAAAGTATTTCACTTCCATTCAGAAGGTGTTTTTGCTGCTTATAGAATTCTAAGTTGACGATCTTTTACTATTTAAGATGTTATTTTTGTCTTTTAGTTTTCGAGGATTTCTGCTATCATTCTTCTTTCCTCTTTTTCTCAAACTTCTTTAAGATTTTTTTTTTTCTTATTGGTTTTTAGCATTTTGATAACTAGATGTTTTGGTATGGTTTTCTTTATTATAATTATCCAAATGTTTGGTGTTCATTGAGCTTCTTAAATCTGTGGGCTTTGTCATTTTTATATTTGGATATGTTCTGACCATAAATCTTCAAATATTTTTATTCTTTCCTCAGTTCTTCCTTTTTTTTAGAGTAATTATACAAACTTCATTTTTTCATCTCATTGTCTTTAAGTTTTCCTCTTCTAAAACATATGAAACATATGAACTTATGGAACATTTGTCATCGCTTTTTAACATCTTTATTTGCTACTTTATCCATCACCAGGGTCTATTTTCATTGGTTGATTTTTCTCTTGCTTCTTTGCATGCCTGGTAATTTGTGATTGGTTGCCCTACATTGTGGCTCCACATTTTTGGGTGCTAAGTTTTGTTAATTCAAAATTTTTTAGATTCTATTCTAAGCTACAGTTATTTGGATTCCATTCGCTCTTTTAAGACGTATTGTTCTCGCCATAACCAGTTTGGCCAGTGGTAGAGCGTCAGTCTGCGGACTGAAAGGTCCCAGGTTCGATTCCAGTTGAGGGCATGTACCTTGGTTGTGAGCACATCCCTGGTGAGGGGGTGTGCAGGAGGCAGTTGGTCGATGTTTCTCTCCCATCAATGTTTCTAGCTCTCTGTCCCTCTCCATTCCTCACTGTAAAACATCAATAAAATAATAATTAAAAAAAAAAAAAAACACAAAAAAACTTGTTGTTCTCAAGTGTCATGAATGCTGGATCAGAACAGCCTTGAGCCTGGGGCTAATTGATCCCATTGCTGAGGTAGCACTTCTCTGAGGATTCTACCCAATTCCCTGAGTGTTTTGAGGTCTTTGCACTAAAGCTCAGGGGAACGAGAATTATTTCCACCTGTGTGCGACCTGGGGATTCTGTGGTTCTTTGTCCAGTTCTAATTAGTTTCCTCTCATGTTCGTACAGATCGATCCTTGGCCAAGAATTTGAGGGGATCCATCTTCAGAGCTTTCTCATCACTCTGTCCTCGAGTATTCTGCCCCACACATTCTAGCTGTCTGCTTCCCCTAATCTTCCTCTATCACTTCTCACTCTCCAACAGCCTTACAAGTTCTATTATACATGGGTTCTTCCTAAAGAAAATAGAAAAGAAGAAGAAAGTGAACTTAGGTTAATTTAGTAGAGAGATAGAGATTGCTGCATTGGAATGCAGCTTTGACGTGAGGGCTAGTGCTTTGGGAGACCGAATATCAGCCATCGGGGCATTTTCTGGTGGCACAGTGCAAAGAATACCTCTTTCCATTCATTTAAGAAAACGTTAACTGCTCTTCAGATTCTAATCACCAGATTCTAATCTGACAACTGGATATTCTCAGAAAATATAAAGGATTGATTTTGACTTTGTAATATTATTTCTCTCAGTTCCTGTGACCTAAAGTATACAGAAGGAGTACAGTCCCTCAACTGGACTAAAATCATGAAGACTATTGTTGATGACCCTGAAGGCTTCTTCGAACAAGGTGGCTGGTCGTTCCTGGAGCCTGAGGGTGAGGTGCGTGAGTGTGGGGTTTCTTTTCTGCTATGTAATAGTTGCCCGTTATTTGAGTAGCTAGAAAAAGTAGTACATAAAAGACCAGACCAAGTGGGAAAATCTCTGAACACATCTGATATTATTTCTCCAAATTAGTTTTACAGGTAAACAATAAATTAGGTATTTGCAGCCACTGATAAGATTTGAAATGTTGTTTTCTAAAAAATGGTCCTCCCAACTCAGCATAATGCTTTATTATCAAGAATATTTCTGCAATTAATATTTCCGGGCAACAAAGGGTGAAGTGAAATTTCATTTAAATATGATAAATATAAATGTGAATCATATATTTAGGATATCCATTAAGATAGTAAATAGTGTTTTTGTTTTTCATCAGGGTAGTGATGCTGAGGAAGGGGATTCAGAGTCTGAAATCGAAGATGAGACTTTTAATCCTTCAGAGGATGACTATGAAGAAGAAGAAGAGGACAGTGATGAAGATTATTCATCAGAAGCTGAAGAATCAGGTCAGTCTTTACAAGGAAAAGTTTCTGTGGCTTTCTAATCTAATGCCATTTCTGGAAACTACTTTGCAAAAAGGAAGAGTTTTATCATTCCTTTCCAGTATAATGACTAATGTTTAATAATCAATTTTTTTTTTCTTAAGACTATTCCAAGGAATCATTGGGCAGTGAAGAAGAGAGTGGAAAAGACTGGGATGAATTAGAGGAAGAAGCCCGAAAAGGTAAATTTTTTTGTTTTATTCTTTTGAGGCACAAATTTCTTAACAGATTTCAGTCCTTAACTAGTGGAGAAAACAAGATCTGTAATTTGTATTCTCCAAGAGACATGGCTGCCTAATTGGATACTTTTTTCATCCGTCAAGTCCTCAATGGATCAATAGTCATGATAACCAAATAGTCTTATATGGCTCCAGAATCAGGTCATTCAGTTTCCAAATCTAAGTTCTATAATAGTCTAAATTTTTAGACTTCTCCCAGGTTAGGAATATTTTTATAGTGCCAGTTTAATTACTCTGAAACCAAATGCCAAATATAAGTTAAAAATAAAAGGAAATGCCCTGGCTGGGTCGCTCAGATAGGTTAGAGCATCCTCCTGATATACCACAGTTGTGGGTTCAATCCCTGGCCAGGCACATACAAGAAGCAACCAATGACTGCATAAACATGTACAACAACAAATTGATGTTTCTCTCTTTATCTCTCTTCTTCCCTTCCTCTCTTTATAAAATAAATAAATAAAACTTAAGCCAAAACCAGTTTGGCTCAGTGGATAGAGCGTCGGTCTACAGACTGAAGGGTCCCAGGTTCGATTCTGATCAAGGGCATGTACATTGGTTGCCGGCACATCCCCGGTAGGGGGTGTGCAAGAGGCAGCTGGTCGATGTTTCTCTCTCATCAATGTGTCTACCTTTCTATCCCTCTCCTTCCTTTCTGTAAAAATCAATAAAAAAATATAATTTAAAAATATAAATAAATAAATAAATAAATAAATAAATAAATAAATAAATAAATAAAACTTAAAAAGAAAAAATAGGTGAAAGGAAATGCCCACTGTATCCTAAGTATTGTGATAGAACTTTGCATAAATTACCATATTTAATCCTTTGTTTATAATTTTCTATTTTATAAATAAACCAAGACTCAAAAATATTAAGTGCTTGGTCAAGATCACACAACTGGTAAGTGACTGAGTCCAGATTAAAAGGTTTAACTCCAAACTATATTCTCAGTACTGTTCATGCTGTCCAGTAGTATCAGGTACCTAATGCCAACCTATATCCAACTAGTAATATCTCTTCTGTTTAGCGGACCGTGAAAGCCGTTATGAGGAGGAAGAAGAACAGAGTCGAAGTATGAGCCGGAAAAGGAAGGCATCTGTGCACAGCTCAGGCCGTGGCTCTAACCGTGGTTCCAGACACAGCTCTGCACCCCCCAAGAAAAAGAGGAAGTAATTTCTGAACTTTGGCCCTCAGCTCCATTCTTCCTCCAGCCAACCCCTGAAAATTTTACATGACAGAAACTGTATTTTTCCTTTTTTCTTTTGAAGTTTTGCCATTTGTGTTTATGGGTTTAGGGGGCCATTTGTGTGGACCAATCTACTCGGGGAATTCCAGGCCCACCAGGACACGTGCCAATGGCCCCATCCAGATGGCGAGGCAGGAGGTGTTCTTGAAGAAGGGCAGAGGCTTCCACTGTTAATACCATTTCATTCCTCTCTTCCTGTCACCTTCTGCCAGGACGTCAGTGGCTTCTGACATCTTATTCTTTGATGTCTCAAAGTATATTTCCAAGATGTTAGTACGAGGTGAATAACTACTTGCACCATGGTTCTTGACCAGCAGATTCGATCCACCATTCTACCCTACAACATGACCTTCCTCACATCTCTTTAAGTTGCATCTTTGCAGTACTCAAGAACAGACAGGTTCTTGGAATTTGCTAATGTTTATAATAAACCCTACAACTTGAGCTAGTAAGGCAGATCAGGCTGGTATTTCCGTCTGAGTTTTCCTGCTTTCTTGCCTCATGCAAGACCTGGGGTATCTGCTGCCTTGGAAGACATAAGAAGCAGCGACGCTCCAAGGCTTGGTTTCATCCTCCTTTCATATTCACACATGGATATTGGTAGGAACAAAATTACCACTGTTTATTTTCTGAAATACCTGAGTAAGGACAGTCGTGCCTCATATACTGCTTCTAGTAAAATCTAGGAGGAGGCTCGCTATTAAAGAATCAACGTTTAGATCTGGAAGGGGAGATAGTCATGCCTTGGGCCTAGGATATCCTGATGAGAAGAGAAGAATGGAGGCCACTTCTACACCATGGCCTCTCGTCACTGCTGCTCCTTATTTTTACTTGTCTTGCATTGTCTGTATTTATCACAGTTTCTGTTGAACCGCTTTTTAAGTATTTGGGGAGTTTATCTTGCCATGCTTCCCCTCCTGGTTCTCGGCACCCACCTGTTCCGCTGCAGTTAATTCTGTGTTTTGTGACTTTAAGAGAGGAGCGGGGAGGGGTCTCAGATTTTGTTGTTTTTGTTTTTTTTCCTCTTTAGCAGTAGGACTTGATATTTTCAATTTTGGAAGAACTAAAAGATAAATAAACTGGGGTTTTTTGTTGTTGTTTTGTTTTTATAAATTCAACGTCTGTGATTATTTTTTTCAGTTCTAAAAGCAAGCCTTCTCACCTAGTAAAGTGGTGAGGCATTAAAAAATAATGACTTTGTACCAAACAAAGTGAAAACAAGTTAGTATCACAACAACAAACTTTCATATTCTAAGCTTTTATGATCATATTAAGAGATACTAGCTAGACATTACAGTAAACCAAATTTATGGATTAGCAAGTTACTTTATCAGAGACTTTTTTACTATGGTTCCTTCACAGAGATCAGAATGGAATAGCACTTGTTCTATCCGAAAACAAATCTTCGATCATCTCCTTGTAAATAGCATGGAAGGCAGCAACAGCTTGAAGGGACACCTTCAGACTTCCTATCGGGGTAGCCTGGTCTGTAGGGCTAACAACTGTTGGGAAAGGAAAAAGAAACGTCAGTCAGGCAGCAGCAGCATTCCATTAAAAAACACGGTGCCAGGGATACTACGTTACTTCATTCGGAGGGGGACTGAGTCGAATGGAAGACAAAGGAACAATTACAGGGTGTTAAGTGCCATGATGAAAACAAGGTGCTTTGAGAAAACAATTGTCACCTAATCAGGATGGAGAAATTGGAAAAGGCTTTCTGATGACAATCCCTAAACTGAGCCTTTAAAAAAGTAAAAGATACATACCTAAGCTAATGTCAAAACATGAGAACATCACAAGTTTAGGAAATTGCAATGAGTGGCAGAAATTAAAGCTATGCAGATAAGTGGGGGCCAGATCATAAAAGGTCTTATTTGCCTTTCAAGGAATTTGGTTTTCACTGAAGTTACTAGTGACGGTTTTTATTTGGTTCTAGAAAAATGAATCTATTATTGGGCAATATATTCAAAGGGGATACAAATACATCAGGAAGGGTAGTTGGGCTTTTACGCTAATTCGAGGAAGAAATGAAAGGGTCTGAAGTACAACAATGAGGGTATGAAGGTGGGGACATTCTGAATTAAAGAGGTAAAATAGAATTTTGTGATTGAATGTTGGGAGTGAGAAAAAAGTTGAAATCAAAGATGACCTTATTTGGGTAAGGGAACATAAGGTACACGTTTGTAGTGGGGTTGGGGACATGCTAAGGGCATACAAGTAGTTACTTAGTTTGCTGTAAGCTAAATTGTATTAAAAATCTGGTCTAGAAACAGATCTGAAATCTTTTCTAGGTTATAATTAAAATCCTGAGAATGGATGCAAACATGTAGGAAAAGGGTATATGGAGAATAAAAGGTCAAGAATTGACCAGGGCAACCCACCATTCAAACTCAGGGTGAAGAACCTGCAAGATAAACAAGGATCCCTTAGGCCAGTGGTTCTCAACCTTCCTAATGCTGCGACCCTTTAATATAGTTTAAATTAACCATAAAATTACTTTTGTTGCTACTTCATAACTAATTTTGCCAGTGTTATGAATCATAATTAAATATTTGTTTTCCAATGGTTGCGACCCACAGGCTGCTGTAGAGCAGTATTGTGCAATGTACTCTGATAGCTTCTTTTCTGCAGTTCTCTGGTGTGTGTGTTTTCTTCAAAATGTGACAATAATTTAATCTCACCATCCACTAATGGGTTATGACAGGAAATTCAAAAACCATTAGTCTAGTGAATAGTAAATGCCCACTACAGCCTAGCAGCTAAGGTAAATGTGTGAAATCCCAGCTGTATCTGAGAACAGGGAACAGAACTGGACAGAGCAGGTCTACCTACAGGCATTCAAATGCAAATATTGTTAAAACATGTTGGCCTTATAATAAGTGTATAGAAACTGTAGTAGATGGATATGAGTTGAAGAAACCAATGCCAGGGAGATCAATTCAGAATACTAGTATAGCAGTTGGAATGTAGTCAAGACACTTCGCAAGTAGAATGGATAAGACTTGGTTACCAATATTGTGAGAGGTGAGAGAGTAGAAAGTTTGTGTCTAAGAAACGGGGTGCATGATAAGGCATTAAAAGAAGGGGTATGAGCTCCTTTACAAACTATGCTCAAGAGGGGTCAGAAATTCTGGCATTTAAATTTGATTGAAATAAAAAAAAAAAAAAAAACTTGTCTTTTCAAACTTTTCCTATCTCAAACATTGGAGAATCATAGTAGGTTCTAGTAATCAAGAGGTATATGAACTAAAATTGACAAGTAGAAAGGTTAAAAAAGATTTTTTTAAATAAAATCGACAATTGACTACCCTCAGGTTTGATCTAGAAGTAAGTAGAGGTATAGGGATTTCGATCTAATTTGTCTCAAACTTTGTAGCAGTAATTATGCATTGAAGGTAAAACAGGAAAAGTATTACGATGACTTGCTTAAAAATAAATGGAACTGAGAAGCACAAAACATGTATTACTTACTGTCTAGCTTTTGCTCTACGATGTCTCTTCCTGATTCCATGATCTGGCATAGTTTCAGATAGGCATATCCTACTTCTTGACATTCATTCTCTTCATCCATAGGATCACTTACCACTGTGAACTTTAAACTAAGGGAGGGATATTACAATTAATTCAGCACTGCTGATACTCTAAGCCTTAAAAAAAAAAAAAAGGATAAAAGTAATCATAAATTAGACAATGTCTAATTGCAACAGCAAAAGAGTGAGGAATTGGTGTAATTTAAAGTAACAACCGGTCCTGGTCAGCTTGCTCAGTTGATTGGAGTATCATCCTGTATGTACACCAAAAGGTTGCAGTTTAATTCCCGGCTTAGGTTGCAGCTTTAATCCCCCATTCAGTTGGCAACTGATCAGTTTCTGGCATCGTGTGTGTGTGTGTGTGTGTGTGTGTGTGTGTGTGTGTGTGTGTGTGTGAGAGAGAGAGAGAGAGAGAGAGAGAGAGAGAGAGAGAGAGTGTTTCTTCTTTCCCTCTAAAAAATATCATTAAAAACATATCTGCAGTGAGGATGTTAAAAAGTATATTTAAAAAGTTTTAATGTCGAAAGCTGTTTGGCTCAGATAGAACGTCGGCCTGGGAACTGAAAGGTCCCAGGTTTGATTTTGGTCAAGGCGTGTACCTTGGTTGTGGGCACATCCCCAGTAGGGGGTGTGCAAGAGGCAGCTGATCGATGATTCTCTCTCATCGATGTTTCTAACTATCCCTCTCTCTTCCTCGCTGTAAAAAATCAATAAAATATATTTTTTAAAAAGTCTTAATAACCATTCTTGAAAGGGAACTGTAAGACTCAAGATAATGTAATTGAGCAGGTTGTCTCAAAACCGTTAAGATATATTTAGATATATCTTCGTTGATTTCAGAGAGGAAGGGAGAAGAATAGAGAGACATCAATGATGAGAGAGAATCATTGATCGGCTGCCTCCTGCACACCCTCCACGAGGGATTGAGTCTGCAACCCAGGCATGTGCCCTCTATCGGAATTGAACCCATGACTCTTCAGTCCGAAAGCCAACACTCTATCCACTGAGCCAAATCAGATAGAGCTGGTTTATAATTTTGATGAAAGATTTGATAAGGTCAGTGGATGAGTTGCACAAAAACCAATAAACAGGAGAAGTTAGAAAAAAGTTTTCAATTTCTAAATAAAAGTTGGGTACCAACCCTGAGCATAGTAAAGGAAACAAGAAAATTCTGTATTTCTTGAATTCCAGAGACTGGTACCTACTAATTTTTTTTTTTTTTTTTTTAGAAAAATTCAAGTATCATAAATTCATTATTTTAATCATTTGAAAGTGTGCAATTCAGTATTTCTTAGTATCATCACAATCTTGTGCAACCATCACCACTATCTAATTCCAGGTCACGTTCATCGCCTTTTCCAAAACTCCTGTACCCATTAAGCAGTCATTCTCTATTG